TTCACAATCCTGGTCCCTTGATGAAAGACCTTGGAGAATTTTCCCTACATTTCTCCCTTGGCAGTCATTTATCAGAATTTGTGATCCAACCTGGATCTGATGAGGTATTTTAGATCTCAGATATAGATCTCTACATCGGTACCCCCTGGTGAACAAGATTTCCTGAGGATTTAGCTTTAGCGGAGCCAACGCCAAATCTGGCATCTATGCTGCTAAATGTATGATGCACGGATGCTTGGAAGTGTGCACATTTCACTGGGATGTCAGATTGGACCCAGATACCTAGAGGGTATCTGTTGGCGCATCAGTGCCAAGGATATAGGCCAAAAGATCAGGAGAGTGTCCCTGAGGCCCCAAATCAAGCAACAGCAGCTCCTCTTTATTACATATATCAGGTAAGGCCACGTAATGTTTACTGAAACAAGCACAACTAGGTCACTCTTAAATCTGAGGAATTACTTTGCTAGGAGGCTGATTGAGTAAAAGGCCTGAAGCCACAGATGTAGAGGAATTGATTTTCTCCAAGTCAGATTCCCTGTAAACAAAGGATGCTTGAGCCCACAGTCTAAGCAAGAATTTAGTCTTGGTGAAGTAAGCTGGAAAACAGCCTTGGGATCTGAAACAATAAAGCACAGCCATTTGCTGGTGGATTTTAAGGTTACTCTGTTCTTTCTGTTTGGTGATTTATCCATTCCATAGGCTTGTACAGCCTGATTCACTCAAACTCAAGGCTGACAAAAAAAAAAAAAAAAATACCTGTGGCCTAAAGAAGGGAGTTTAAACAAACAAACAAAACATGTGCTGGATGTCGATTACATGCCAGGAGCTGCTTTTCTGAATCCCTCACTACAAGCTGTGGAGGTAGGAGGCACCGTTGCATTTAATTCTGACAGTGACCCTGTGTGGTACGGGATATTATCCCCCTTTTGGAGATGATGTAACTGAGGTCCAGGGAGGCTAAGTAACTTGTTCTAGGTCACGTGCCTACTGAAGAACAAAGCAGGGACTTAAATCCTGGCCTGTCTGCCTCCAAAGCCCAAGCTCATAACCATTCTGCCTGTGTTTCTCACCAAACCACCTAGAGCACTGGGAGCCTCTCCACTCGGGAAGCTGGCTTTTTAAATGTGCAGACTCCCGAGACTCATCTCTGTTCTCTTAAAGCAGAATGTCCAGCTTTGGGGAACCCGAGAATCTCTATTTTTAACAAGGCCTCCAGGTAATTCTTCTACTTGCTCAAGTGTGAGAACTGCCAATCTTGCTACGATGCGTCCTCTCCTGAGGAGAGCTCTTGATGTCATACAAATTTGGAGGAGACAAGGAGGCTTCCCACAGTCTCTGGTGAGGTTTAAGGTCAACGTGAAGGACTGAGACCCGTGTTCCCGGGGGTAGTGATTGGGGAAGTTCCCACTGATGGGCGTTTCGTCCATTGAGGAGGGTCCCTAACCCCACCTGCCCTGAGGGAGTCAAAGCCCAGCCCAGAGAGGGACAACTTGAATGGAGGCATAAGCTTGACAGGGATGCTATCACATGTATCGGCGTCCATGGTGTCAGTGCTGAGAGGAACTGAGGTTTGCACAGCCCAGCACCTCTCACTCATTTTAAAGACCCAGAGAAGTTAAAGCCACCCTGCTGGGCAATGACCAGGCTGGGGTAGAAGCCTCTGCCTTCTCTTCATCCTTACCTCATTACCACTATGTCCCCAATATACCTAGCCTGCTGCTAATGGGCAGGGAAGAATATGGCTTTATTTTCAACCACCCCACTACACTGCAGGGAAAAGAACTAGATAAACACCCATGTTTTAATTTTGACAAACACGCAACTGCTCATAGGTAGTATGCATGTGCCAATTTCATCCACCAGGAGATAGTATTTTTCCGCCCTGAGGGCAGTAGGCCATTCTGAGGATTCTGAGCAAGAGCCCAGGTCCGTGCTCAACAATGTTCTGTGTAGGAGCAACCTTCTTGCCTGCCCAAGTCCTTACCCAAAAGAACTGCTTTTATGTTTTCATGTACCATGCAGGGGGTGACACTGCCCCTTCTTCTCTGCATCTGAAAGGAAGAAGGGCTGGGGAGGAGGTCACGTAACTGGTGTCCCTTCTAAGGGCAGCAAAATACTCTGAGCTCCTCACTCCTCCACAGTCATTGGAAATGTTCCAGTTGTGTTCTGGAGCCATTCAGCTGTGGCAGCTGCTGCAGCAAGATGAGTGTGGCCTGGAGAGTCATGGGGCCCATTTCATTATAACTCACTGTGGGACCTTAGGCAGCCTACCAGGCTGGCCTGCCTCAGTTTATCCATCTAGGAAAGGGGAGCTATATCATGAAGGCTGATATTCTTCACAACCGCACTAAAGAAAAAAAATACTTTGAAAAAGATAAATAAGTCATCTCAGGGCTTGTAGACTTTAGTCACGTAACAGCTCCTGACATTTGCCATACCTGTTAGTAACCACTCACTGAACAATGATCAGGTGCCAAGGCATACATGATATGTCTCCATTCTATAGATGTGGAGATTGAGGATGGAAAGAGTTAAGTCACCTAGCAGATGTCTTTTCCAGCACAGGAGTTTGTAGAACAGGGGATAACAGAAATGAACTCAGACTTAGACTATTTTTGGATGGGCATCCCTTGCAGTAAATTTTGTCCCCAAGGACAACGCCCTTGTGCAATCACCATGCCAAAGGTTTGCTGAAAAGTGGTTATGCTCCTAGTGGCTACGCTCAGAACCAGATAGAGAGCCCTGTTTGGCAACTGCTGAAAGTTAACACAGGTAGTGGGCCTACTGTAGCCAATTCCTGAAGTGTGCCCAGTAGAAGGTAGGAAATGGGTTCTGGGTCCTCAAAGTGTTCACAATCTAGGAAGAAGTATGGGATGTATGTGAATGCACTGCAACAGGGGACAGTGTGCTGGTGTCCTGGTGACATCACATGTGCTGTGGGAACACAAAAAGACAAGAGAAGGCTTCTATTGGGTGAGGAAGGAGTGATGATAGAGAAGTCATTGAAACTTGGCCTTTGTGGCAGGCAGAGTAATGGCCCCTCTGAAGATGTCCATACCCTTTCCCCAGAACCTGTAACCTGTCACCTTACATAGCAGAAGGGACACTGCAGATGGGATTAAGGTTACAGACCTTGAGATGGGGAGATTATCCTGGATTATTGGTGTGGGTCTAAACCAATTATGTGAGTTCTTAAAAGCAGAGTATCTTTCTTGACTGTGGTCAGAGAGAAGATGTGAGGTTGGGTCAGACGTGATGTTGCTGGGTTTGAGGATGAGGAAGGGGAATATGAATTGAGAAACATGGGTGGCCTTAAGAAGAAAGTGGAAAAGACCAAGAAATAGATTCTCCAGAAGGCACACAGGCCTGCCAGTATCTTGATTTTAGCCCAGTGAGACTCAAGCAAGAATTCTGACCTATGATAAATTTGTGTTGTTTTAAGCCACCGTTGGAAGTAATTTGTCACGGCAGCAATAAAAAAACAAAACAAACAAACAAACAAAAAAACCCAAAAAAAACCAATACAGCCTTGGGAAATGGGATGTGGTGAGACAGACTATGATATACAGGGTGGGGTTCCAGACGGGAGAGCAAAGGATATAGGTTTATGGGAGGTGGGGACAGAAAGGATAAGCAGAGCTGTCACGTAGAACTTTCTGTGACGATGGAAATGGTATACATCGGTGCTGTCTAGTATGGCAGTCACTAAACCACATTGATTCTTGAGCACTTACCACATTGCTAGTGCAACTGAGGGACTGGCTTTTAAATTTTGTTAAGTTAAAAATTAAATTTAAATAGCTATGTATGGCTAGTAGCAACTGTATTTGACATCGTGGGCATAGAGAGCATGAAGTTTGAGAGATTAAGATCTAACTTTCAATGTCTCAGGCCCAGCCCTTAGAATTTCTGCACACATTAGGTCATTTAATCCCCTAAGTGAGCCTAGGAGGTTGGCATTATTTATGGCGATCCCCATTTACTAGATGAGAGAACTAAGGCACAAAGAACCTGAATGACTTATCCAGAATCACAGACTGATAAGTGGTGATGCCAGGAATGACCTCCAGGATTCCAGAGCCAATCCTCTGACCCATGTCACTCTACTAATATTCTACCATAATATGCAATGCCTCTTACCACTACATCATGCCATCATAAGAAAGAAAGAATATGATGGAGGCCATGGACAGGATAATAGAGGCTGCCACGAGGCATAAACAGGAGAGGCCAGGGAAGGCATCCCTAGGGCATGACATTTACTCTGAGTGCTTAAGGAATTGAGGAGGAATTGGCCAAGAAAAGGAAGGGAAGGGGGTAGAGAGTCCCAGGTAGAGGGAATAGGTATGAAAGCTCCAAGGTGAGGGAGAACGTGATCTATTCAAGGAAGTGAAAGTTGATCAGAACGGCTGGCATCAAGAGAGAAAGAAAGCGAGTATCTAAGGTCAAGGGTGGAGAGATTGGCAGAGACCAGACAACACAAGTTCTGGTAAAGTTGTGAATGCTTTCCAAGGATTTGAATGTTATTCTAAAAGTTAATATGCATATATACTATATATTACATATGCAAACACATACACATATTTTTCACTCCTTCTGTATGGAAAATGGAGTGGATATGACCAAGTGTGGATCAGGAGAAAATGGTTAATGTCATCAGTAACCACATTCCCGAGTTCTTCAGAATCCCTCAGGAACAGCAGTAGCATTTATACTCCTCTATTACTTTATATTTTCAAAGTACTTTCCCATCCTTTCGATCTTCACTAGTACCCTGCGACAAAGGTAGAGATTTTTATCTCCATTTTGCAGATGGGTGAATTAATTCTCAGAGAAAGGAACTGACTTGCCCAAAGTCCCAGCTGGTTAGTGGCAGAGCTGAGTCTAGAATCCTTGTTGCCTGAGTCTCTTCAAAGAGATCCAGTCCAGGAAAGATGGGCTCACAAGGCTCTCCGCTCTGGCCCTCTCCTCTGTGGAATGGAAGCAAAGGTGGCCTTTACCTTTCGGATGCCATCATGCTTCATTTCAATCACATGGAGGGTGTAGTTGGTCCGGCGTCCCTTCTCATTAAATTGAACATTTCCTGTCAAGCCTTCAAACCGCACCTGGAAAGCAAAGCCAAGTAGTAAACCATGAACTTAGAAGTTCCACTTGTGCTTGTTTGCTTTTTCTGCTGAAGTGAAAGTCCAGAACCCGAGAAGCGTACATGGGATGAGGTCTCGGAGTCGCGTGATGACTAAGATACTCCTTGCCCACAGCAGACACGGCTATGGGCAGTTCTCTTTCCTACCAAACTGAGATTCATACTGAAAACGTTTTTCATCCATTGCCTTAGGCAAACAGTAATAAGGGATCAAAGTAGATTCTGATAAGAAATCTCTGTGCCATCCTGATCGAACACCTCCCATCGTGACCACCTCCAGGGGCAGTGCCTGCCTCTCAGACACACGCCTTTAGTGGAGAAACAGGAGACCTGCAAAGGAAAGGGGGCCAGTGCACCATTCCTGGTGAGTCAGGAAAAGAAGCTGGCCTTATGAAGCCTTGAGCCATGCTTGAATATGGTTCCTTGGTTCCCTTGTGAAGCCGGGAAATAAAAATATGTGGGAATCTGAAGACCTGACATTGGAAGGCCTGAATTTGACCCTGGGAAACCAACTGACCTTGGGAGATTCACCTCTCTCAGCCTCCGGTTTCCAAAATTCCTGCCCTGTCTGCTTTAAAGGACACAGCAAATGTCAAAGTGCCGTGAAAACCTGAAAGCACCTGAGGAGAGCCCTTCATGTTAAGACCAGAGTAGGCAGGGCTTGAAACAAGTCTCAGCTGGTTAAAGAAAAATTTGTATTCAACCACAAATATGCTTCGTGGGATTTCTTTTCCACAAATGAGTCAGATCAAACTTTCATGGCCTCAAATCTTTAATCATAGAAAAGCTCAAGTGGTCAACATGTGGGATTCAAGACCTTTAGGGCCAAGTCTGCCACTCTGGGGGTGACCAATAAATCTCACCCAAGTCTACTCTCCAAGTAAGGATGAGTCTAGCTGTATGTCATCTGCTCAGGTGTAAGAAGCCACATTCTCTAATGGTGACCCACCATGGGTTCTCACATCAGTCTGGCCTAAGGCCAGTGAGGTGAGTCTCTACCTATAACCAATATGAACGTGGCCCTGTAACCCCACACCGTTTATTTATTCCCTTCAAATAGCTTAAAAGTAAGACTTATAGGGCTTTATCTTTTTCTGACAGTGACCAGCTTCTATGCCCTCAGAAGGTATAAGAATAGTTGGGGTATGTGTATTTGAGAGAAGGGGTGGGGGAGTGGAAAGAGAGAGGGAGGGAGGGAGAGAAGGAGAGAGGAGAGAAAGAAAAAGGGGGGCTGACTGCTCTGAGGATGACCCTCTCATCACCTTCTGGTTTGAAGTCTCACTGGGGAGGCCATGACAGGCCCAGAGTGCTGGACAAATTATACAACAAGGTTTTCACTCTCTCAGCTGAAATATGGAGAAATCCTCGACTCTGGAGAAGTCTAGGCTGGCTTTGCTTTTCAGAGAGAACACAAAGCACAGATCTTCCTAGAAAGAATAAGAAGGGAGCTATTTCAATCAATTAGCAACTGCACCTTCTCACCGTGGTCATCTCTTGATCATCTCTGGCTTTCCCATTCATTTGGGTTTGAGAGAGGTATGCTAAGTATGGGTTTAAGTAACTCATCTGGAAAAACAGACTGGGGCACATGTGCAGATGAATGGGTGGATGAGTGACTTTCCCAAACAGAAGGAAGTATGTCATTAATGATCCAAATGGGCATCTATGCTTTGGCCCCGGTCTCAAGTCTCAGACCAATTACCAGTATGGCGTTTTAGTATCAATTGTGTAATATTTCTATGACTCAGTTTGCTCGTTTGTTTAACGGGACCAGTTAGGGGTTAATTATGTCGTAAGGTTGTTTTAAGGATTAAATGAGATAGTTTATGACCAATGCTTGCTGCATGGTGAGTATTCGGCAAAGGCCAGCTGTTGTTGTTACCAATGGTGTAGATAATAACTACCACCATTTGACAATGTTTTATGTTTACAAAGTACTTTCATGCATATTCATCTCCATATACAGGAACCCCCGGAGGTACGCATTTAGGGATGATCGTCACTTACATGGGAAAAACCAGAACTCTGGAAGGTAAACTGATTTGCTCAAGACTTAAGACTTTTCAGTGTCAAAGGCAGGCCTAAAATCCAGAGCTTTTGATATTCTAGTATATTCACTGATGATACCAAGTGGCCTCTCCAAACAGGCGACAATGCTATCATGCTAGTCTCTGAGTAAACACAGAAATGCACACAGTAGTATGTTCTGCGTGCCTACTGCTGTCACCCGCTGCTACCGCTGGGCATTTCCCTGGCCATGCTCTGTTAACTCCTAATGAGGCGGCCATGAACAGGTCACCAAGCCTATCTGTTTCTGAGTTTCCTCCTCAAAGAACTGGAGTGTTTAGCATATTGCCTGGGACAAATGTAAAATGCATATTATTTAAATGATGATGATGATGAGGAGGAGGAGGAGGAGGATGGCTACTACTATTGTAGGGTAGTAGGGTGGGTAAGGTATGGAAAAATAAGATGATTTCAACATTGAAGCCTTGAGTCTGGTAAGTTGTTAGAGCAGGAGACTCTTTCAGCAGAGATGAAGGTGTTGCCACTGGCATTTGTACAAGCCTTTCTCAGTTTCCAAAAAAAGCATCATTAGCAAAGTCCTAGGCCCTCTACCTGAAGGCCCCTTGCACCGCCACAGTGTTTTCACAGGAAGGTGTTCATTTGATGTTCACAGGAACCCAGCAGGGAGCAGTAACAGCAGTTATTATGCCTATTTTACAGATAGGATTATTGAGACTCAGAGCTTACGGCACTTGGGTTCAGAATTCACGGTAAGTCATGAGAGGTCTGGGGCAGCTGTAGGCTCTTACCATCTAGTTGGAGAAGCCAAGACTTACACACACTGAGATAAATCAAAGTATGGGAAAGCAGACATCTCTGAACGACCCTTCCATTATGGCAAAGCAAAGAGAGGTCAAGAGAATGGCTTAGCCCCAGGGCATTTACATGGACAGTCTGGACTCACAGTCAGAAGAAGCAGCTTCTCAGAAACACCCACTTTGGGCAAATCTAGAAACTGCTATCTTTTTCATCAGGGCTGAACTTCTTAGCCCTCATCACCACCGCACACCGCCACCCCCCCCCCCCGGCCCTATCTAGGGAGACTGGGGTCAAAAACTGAGTCTCCCCTTGGTTCCTGCTTCCTGGAACTCCCGTCGCCATCCTGGCGTCTGCCAGCTCCCTCTGTGACAAACAAAGAATTAGCCGTGGCTTCCTGTAAGTGGTACTGGGTGCCAGCTCAGAGTCTGCCGCTCATGAGAGGCTGAAGCACAATTTTTCTTTCCTGCCTTCTGCTGGGAGAGTGCTACGTAGTGTTTGCACTGTTTGAGGCATCAATACTGCAGACTTCCCCACCCCCTATTCCTGAGGGCAGCAGCAGAGATGCTCTGGACCCAGGGCCTCTGTAACTTCTTTGTGGCTGCTTTCAAGTGGACCCATCCTCTTGGCACCCCACTTGAGTGCTCACTGGGTGTGGGAAATCAGGGCCTGTGGTCTAGATCCCAGTGGATCACATCCTGGTTATTCTGGCTAGGGTAAGTCACAGGACCCCTCTGAGCTCCCACTTTCTTATCTGCACAATGGGAAGAACAACTTGGCTTTAATCATCTCATTCAGTTGCCCTGATGTTCAAAGAAGCTTCTACATTCTTCTTCTTTTTTTGAATTTTTTCATTTTTAAAAATTTGAGCCTTGTAACAAGCCAGTGAGGCAGGCAGTGCTAAGAGGATTATGTACATTCAGGAGATGAGGAACTCAATGCCAGGAAAGTTGAGTAGTTAGTCTAAGATCCCCAAGCTAGAGCTTGGTGGAGCCACGGTGAAAACCCACCTCTTCTCTTTCTAACTCCCTGACAGCCAAACATGATGCCCACAAGTCCTTGATTGTACCTTGACTCTGGTTCCTGCTGGATATCATACGCTTACATCCTCCAAAGTCCGATTCGCTCTTTATTCAAATTTATCCTTCCCTTAAGGCTTTCATGACCATCCATCTCAGCTGGCTTGAGACCGTTCCAGTCTACAACTCCTGCTCTGGAATAATTGATAATAGCTTTTTCTTTCACTCACAAGTGTCCCAGTTTGGATGATAAATTATAGGATCACCTTATTTAATGCCCAGACCCATCTTATAAGAAACCTTGTCGATACCCAGACTCCTCAGTCATGGCGTTCTCCTGTGACTGTCCATAGGACTGAGAGCTTGGCTATGCTATTTAGCCCTTAATCCACACCTTTAGAGCTAGGATTTCTCAGGAGCTTGCCTTCCATTTAAAAGTGGGTCTTGAGTCCTGAAAGGCAGGAACTGTCTCTTACACTGCTATTGCCTGTGCCACCCCAGATCTCACCTAGCAAAATGCTGGGACTTCCTTCACTCTGATAGGCTTGAGCATTGACTGACAGATGGCAAACACAAAGACCGAGAGGTCTGATCATCATTTAGGGCAAGCATTCTTCACCTGAAGTCTTGGGATTGGCTTCCAGGAGCAATATGGTCCTCGGACTCCTGGTCCTACAAAAATATATGTATGCACATGTGTGCATGTTTCTGGGAAAGAGAGTCCAGAGCTTTTAAAAATAATATCCTCGGGGCGCCTGGGTGGCGCAGTCGGTTAAGCGTCCGACTTCAGCCAGGTCACGATCTCGCGGTCCGGGTGTTCGAGCCCCGCGTCGGGCTCTGGGCTGATGGCTCAGAGCCTGGAGCCTGTTCATTCTGTGTCTCCCTCTCTGCCCCTCCCGTTAAACAGTCTGTCTCTCTCTGTCCCAAAAATAAATAAACGTTGAAAAAAAAAATTAAAAAAATAAATTAAAAAAAAATAATAATAAATAAATAAATAAAAATAATATCCTCAGTGGGCTTGTGACCTCCAAATGCTAAGAGCCTGACTTGGGGAGCTGGATCTTCTCTGTCAGCCAGAAGCCGACTTATGGGTCTGCTTCCTAATGCCTACTCCTTCCTGGAGCACGGAGGGCTTCCAGGATGTGGGCTCATTACTATTCTGAATGGCTCCTGGATGTCAGGCAGGCAGGTGGCTGATTATCTTCACTCTCTTGCTGGGGAAATTACAGCAGGGTAAGGGGGGATGGGGGTGCATAGATATTACCCAAGGCCAAGTGCTATTGCTGGCTGGGCCACAGCCCTCGTGTCTCCCCTGCTAGGCTGGACCTCTGAGACTTCAGGGCAGTTACGTACACAAAGTGAGGTAGCAAGCAGATGTGGGTTGGAGTCCCAGTTTCACCACTAACCAGCTATATAATTTGGGGAAATTTTTAAAAATATCTCTGAAGCTCATTTTCTCCATTTATAAAGCATAAATTAATAAAACTAGCTACCTCAGAGTATTATATTGAGGATTCAATGAGTGAAACATGTAAAGTATGTTCAGAACCTCATATACATAAGAAGCCCTTAACACATCAGAGCTGGCATTACCATTATTTTTATCAGCACCATGCTCTAACCAGATGAGCTAACTGGCCACTACCATTATTTTTACAATAATGGGCTTATTCCTTCAGGCCTCACTCGCATGTATCCCATTTCTAACACAAGCTGAACTGCATAGGTCTCTTCCCAATGTGTGACCTGAAGGCCAGTGATTAGGGAAGCAAAGACCTGAGCCCTCAAACACAGGTTCCAGGGACTGAGTATCAGCAGAATTTACCCAGCATATTGTGGGCACATAGTTGCTCACTAGTGGCATGACTATTTCAAGAGATGGGTCTAGAAGGTGAAATGCCTGGACAGTGGCCATGACCGTGTGTGGAAGGCCCTGCGGCTCAATGTGTACAAGTAAAGGGCCAAGAGGCCAAGGGACAGGCCTGAAGCAGGAGGAGGAGGCAGGATGGGAGTCTCCTCCAGCCTCTGCTGCTAAGCTGCTGTGTGACCCTGGATGAGTCATTGCTACTCTGGTCAGCTGCCTCCTCTATGAAGTAATGGAAATGGAAGTCTGTAATCTTATCTAAAGTCTTATTCAGCAATAAATTACTGCGATTCTGGATTCTTAACAAATATTTAAAAAGGAATCTGTTTGAACAGCTGATCTTGGGATCAGAATGTTGGAGTTTTGTGTTTGGGGCTAGTTCTCCCCCACCCACCCCATCCCCCAACAGAGGCTGAAGAGTTTCTTAAGGGTTAGGTCTTGCCTTCTCTTATCTCCATTGCTTGGCCCCAGGCCAGAGTGCCCACAGGTTCTCAGGGAGCAGCTGACTGGCTGCCAGAGAAGCAGATACAAGTTTTGACTCAAAGACAATATAAAAGAGGTCATATTCTTTTGACTAAGGCAATTGCCCCCTCCCAAACCCCACTGAAGGCAGAAGCAAAGGATAAGTATACGTTTTAACCGGAAAGGCACGGATTAGACCATAAGAGAGAAAAAGAAGCTTAGAATGTCTAGAGACAGTTGAAACTTGGGAGTGGTCTCTCCAACTTCCTCATTGTCAAGGACAAGGAAAGGGAAGTGTGTAGGAAATACGAATGGGAATTTCAAGGTCACTCAGAGAGCCAGGGGCCCAACTGGACTTGGACCCCAGCTCTCCTGCCTCCTGGTTCAGAACCCTTCTTGCTACCTGCACTGCTTTCTGGGCTTCATCACTGCCATGGTGACGTCAGAATATCCTTACGACAGGGACGACATTAAGATGGGAGAGGCAGAGGAGCTGGGAGGGTTGTGAACCTGAGGGCAAGTCCCGGGGACCTTCTGAAACCAGTCTCACATTGCAAACAGAACCTGTCTCGCCTGTGGGGCCTGGAAGAGCATTTTAAGTAAGTCAGAAGGCAGGTGCTGCATCTTTGGCCATCATACGGAAGCTGCCTGATGTCCACTGTTGCTGCTTGGTGAAGGGGCTGCCCTCCACGGAGATGGGGAGAAAGCAGAAGGGGCTACTGGTGGACCCCTTAGCATGTTCCTCCTGTCATCACAGGGCTGCAGCTTACCCTCATTCCCAAGAATGGAGCTACACATTCTCCTCCATGTAAAGGCACTTCATCCAAGCTGAGGAACAGCTGGTGATGTTCCTTTCTCGGCTCTTTCCCCAGGTTGTTAAAATTGCTAGAGCTGTGCACGTGTGGTTGGAAAACGAATGGGGACGGTTGTGCATTTTGCTCTACATTCCTCCCTCGTTCAGAAACGCTCTCCTCCTCTCCTGGGAGCCTAAATTCACTTTCTGTTGAAGGTAGTCTCAAAAGTAAAACCACTCTTGGGGCACCTGGGTGGCTTAGTTGGTTAAGTGTCCTATGCTTGGTTTTGGCTCAGGTCATGATCTCATGGTTTGTGAGATCGAGCCCCTCACTGGGCTCCGCGCTGATAATGTGGAGTCTGCTGGGGGTTCTCTCTCTCTCTCTGCCTCTCCTTCACTTGTGTGCTCTTTCTCTCTCTCTCCCTGTCTCAAAAAAAAAAAAAAAGTAAAACCTGTCTTATCCAGGCAACTCCATTCGATGGGGCAGAGGGTAGGTCATGAGTAGCATCAGCACTAAAATATTTTGCTGTTGCTGGTTTGCCACTGTGCCTGAAACTTGGACATTCCTTTCAGTTGGCACTGCCCTCTTTGCCCACTCCCCTCTGGAAACACAGCCTCTCTATTAGGAGGCATCAGATGGTACAGCCTATCCATCAGCAGCTCAAGAATCACAGCCTGGACTTGAGGTGTTTCTAGAGACTTCTAGAGGCTTTAAGAGATTTCTAGTTGCTCTGAGGGTGATCAAGCTGAGGGCAAGCTCCCAGAAGCTTCTAAACCAAGACTGTTCAATACAGAGCCCACAGGTACCATTGTTTCATTCTGCTTACACAGCAGACATATCACTGATGGAATATTTATGCTCTTCCCTGTGGAATCTAGATTCAGCCTAAGAATCCTTTGCATAGCCAATTGATGAGAATAGGCATGGCCATTTTCTATTCCTGTTCTTTAACTGTTCTTCAGTGCAAACAAAATTGATGATTGTAATGCTGAGAGGCAAGAAAATGGGATTAGAAAGTACCGACAAGCATTGTCAGGATCCCCTCATGAAATGTGTGTGGAAAGCAAAGGTAACAAAGACATACAGAAAACTAGGGCAGGTGGGGAAAGTCTCCAAGAGACGGCTCAAACGGTTCTGTTTCATCCCTACGTATTTCAAGTCCTCTCTCCAACTACAGCATAATCCCTAAACAGAAAATACAGCTTTTACACTATCAGGAGTTCCATACTATTTTTTGTTTAAAAAAAAAAACAAACACATTCTACATGAGCTTCCACGTATGCCAAGAGCCACAAACACAATGCAGTTGTTGTCCAAACCTCAGGCATGCTCCACCCTTTCTTTTAAATGGCTGCATCCCACCTGAAATTGATGCCGAAATCCCCTACGAGGCTCCCATAAGAAGGGGCAGCCACAGCCAGGCCGGCCTCACCTGCTGCAGAGCTCTTTGGATGTCGATCCCCTGGCCCCAGGGCACAGCTGGGTTAGCCAGGCAGTCCCCAGCATTCCCCCGGCGGGATATATCGATTCTCTGCCTCCGCAGGCTCTGAAAAGCCTCAGCCATCACCTTCACCCCGTCGTAGGTGAGCGCAGAGGTGTACTGGTGGGAGGAATGGAGATAGTTAGGTGTCAGAAAGAGCTGGCAGGGAGGCAGGTGGGAGTTCTGTCTGGGAACGTGCTTCCTGGTGATGAGAATGCTTTCAGTGGGGGCTACGGGAGTGGGGGTGGGCAGGGGTGACCCAGGAAGAGCCTGTGCCTAGGATGGGGGCTGCTGCTCCACATCACTAGCCAACGTTGCCCTCCTGAACTGTGGGTTCCCTTGCCAGTTGTGACTTTCAAAGGGAAGCTGGAATTCTAGACTTTTGTGTGCAGTCTTGCAATGTTAAAATGTTGGTTCAACTGGAAAAAGAAGGCATAGATTAAATGCATCACACCTATAGCTCTGATACAGCCCATAGAAATTTTGGTTTTCTCTGTTACAGTCACAGTTGGGAGCCAAGAGGAACTATTTACTCCACTATCCCCTGTGACAGCAAAAGAAAAAAAAAAATCCAAGAAGGGTAAGCTCTTAATTATTTCCACATGTGCCTCAAAGTGGCAGGTTTACACTCTGTATCCTTTCCCCTTGTGCTTATTCATGATAGCTCTCTTTTTCCCTTTAAAAGGGGGCTTAGATATTGATAAAACAAAGCAGGATAACGATCCAGGACAATATTTTCTGGCTTTGGAACTCATGCCTGTCTTGTTCATTAATTTGTCCTCAATGCCTAGCTTGTTCTGTGGTATATTTTAAGTTCACAATAGAGAGCTGTAGAATGAATGTGTATTTTTCCAGTTTTTAACTTTGATTCTCTCACTTAAAAAAAAAATATATATATATATATTACATTTGATTATTTTCATTTATTTATTTTTAATGTTTTTTTTCCCATTTATTTTTGACAAAGAGAGAGCATGAGCAGGGGAGGGGCAGAGAGAGAGAGAGAGAGAGAGAGAGAGGGAGACGCAGAATCTGAAGCAGGCTCCAGGCTCTGAGCTGTCAGCACAGAAGCACAGAGCCCAACACAGGGCTCAAACTTGTGCACCTCGAGATCATGACCTGAGCTGAAGTTGGAGCTTAACCGACTGAGCCACCCAGGTGCCCCTACATTTGATTATTTTTATAATCTCCAGTCTTTTGCAAGTTGGGTGGGGTATTCACATATTAATTAACTGGTGTGTGTTTTGTTCATTGCTTTAAAGCACAAGTGATTTTGTTTGCTTCAGCTCATATTGAAAGGAGTCTTCGTGTTTTAAAGTTTTTATTTAAATTCCAGTTAACATAGAGTGTAATATTAGTCTCAGGTGTACAATACAGTGATTCAACACTTCCATACAGTACCCAGTGCTCATCATGACAAGTGCACTCCTTAATCCCCGTCACCTATTTCCCCCACCCCTACCCACCTCCCGTCTGGTAACCATCAGTTCTCTACAGTTAAGAATCTTCTTCTTGCTTTCTCTTTCTCTTTTTTTCCCCCTTTGCTCATTGTCTTGTTTCTTAAGTTCCACATATGAGTGAAATCGTATGGGAAGTAAGTCTTCATGTTTGAGCTGCTAAATCAGTTTCAGTAAGAGCAGGATGAGAAGCATCTCAGCTAAATGACTTGCCATTCGCAAAAAGAAATTGACCGAGTGGCAAGAGAAAGTTGTCAAAGATTCACTGTTTGCTCCAGATAAACAAATTTGGCCTCAGAATCCTCAACACAGTGTTCCACACAGACACTGCCAAGATATTGAGTCTGACAGGGGAAAGAAAAATTACCTGCTGTCTTTATTCAAAACCACTATCAAATAGCAAATAAAATAGATTTTGGCTGTAGGATTTAGAGCTTCATGCCTGGGACATGAGAAGGAGATGGTCTGCATAACTGGGAGCTGATGTTCTGAGGCAGAGATGTGCTGGATATTGTTTATTAGATTTCCTTATTTTTTAGCTGGGTACGTGGCTGACCAGATAAAGGGCTAGCTTCCTGCACAATTCAAGAAGCTTCCATTCACAAAGAAATGAGTGAAAACCACATCCCCCCTGGAGCTGTGCCACATAGTGGCCCTGCCCAGAATAGAGATACCATTTTTCAGCTTCTCTGTAGCAGGTTGGGGCTAGGTTTCTAAGATGTGGTTAGTAGCATGTGAGTGGGTGATTTGTGTGACCTCTGAAAGGGTTTTTTTTTTTTTTTTTTTTTTTTTTTTTTTTTTTTTTTTTTTTAAAAGCAATTGTGCTTTTTATTTTCCTTTTTGCTATCCTGCTGGTTAGAGTATTGAGTTAATGGTTGGAGCTTCAGCAGCCATTTTGGGCTATAAGGTAGCAGCCATATGCTGAAGGTAGCAGAACAAGAAGACAGAAGAAGCTTGAGTGTTTGACAATAGCGGGGCTGTTATATAAGCCCTGGATTGCTGACTTCTGAATTTTGTTTATATGAGAGAAAAACAAAACATTTATCTTGTTTAAACCATTGGTCATTCTGTATTGTCAAACCTTTGCAGCACATCCTCATTCTTAATGTATATATTTTCCTTAGCTTATTCTTCTTAGAAAGTCTTTCCTTTCCTAAAGGTTAATAGTGCCCAGAAATCTGGGGCACACAAAGGGACCAGGTTGGTCCTTTGCTGCCTGCTGCCCATTCTCTCACCTTAGGTCTCTTCCAGTCCACCCGGGTGTGGTCGCGAGCATCGCTGTTCTTCCACTGCTGCATGATTTTGGCTGGGATGGTGTCTGTGTAGTTAACCAACTGGAAACCTGTTACATTTGCTCCACTCTCCTTGAATTTGTTTAAGTCAATGTCCATGAAACCCTGTGCAGGGAGGAGGGGAAAGAAATCAGAACGTGATGCCTAGATAAGTCAATTTAATCATGTTATAGGATCACAGGTTTTCCATCCTGCTCCATAAGATGAAACCAGCTGAATGGAGAGACCTTGGTGTCTCCTCCCCTTCCAAAGGTTATCATTAAGTTTGTGCCTGGTTAGCACAGCTAAAGGCACTTGCTCAGAAGCCAGCCATGCCTGGGCTAAAGTGCTGGCTCTGCTATTCAGAGCCGTTAGTTCAACTGACTCGGACTAAGTTGCTTGACGTTTTCTTGTCTGAATAACGAAGGTTAGGAAGTTAGGGAGAAAAAGCCATGTGGTGATGCACGTCAAGTGTGTGGGGCAGACTGAGTGATCAATAAGTCATGGTGGGATTGTTATGATGCTACAAATATGGAACAAGATAGAAACATAAGGAGGCAACTGTCTCCTCTACCACCTGCATTCCTCAACCCTTTTGAGAGAAGAAGAATCTGACGTCCATCAGGAGCAAATTCCTGTGGGCTCCCCAAGGTCACTAGCAAGTCTGCACAAGGGGCTGGATTCTGATCTGGATTCTGACCATCCCTCACTCTGTGCCCTTTACTGTACCACAGACTAACATCCACAAAGGATCCTTTACCAGGAATAAATCTTTCCTCCCGATTTGGTGAAGTTCATTCAAGTTCAGGAGGCCTTCACCTTAAAAAAGAAGCCTTGTATTTGTATAATACATTCCATAGAGCACAGTGCTTTCATATCTATGGCCTTGCTTCACTTTATGACTTAATAAGGTAGAAATTAGGTGTCTATTTGCCACTTTAAGAAACTGAGACAAAGGAGGAGAATTGATCACAAAGTCATCAGGTGCATCAGTGGCAGAGCGTGGACAAGGACTAAGGTATCTTGAGGGGCTTAACTCACTCATCTTTCAACAAACATTTTTGAGAACCTCTAGGGCACTATTCCAACAGTGAATAAAATACGTTCTCTTATGAAGCTTATATTCTAGTGAGAAAGACCATAAACAAACAAGTAAACGTGTAGCATGATATACACAATAAACTCATATGATACTGTCCACATCTCTCTTTTTTAAATTCTTTTTTTCGATGTTTATTTTTGAGAGAGAGAGACAGAGTGAGAGTGGAGGAGGGGCAGAGAGAGAAGGAGACAGAACCTGAAGCAGGCTCCAGGCTCTGAGCTGTCTGCACAGAGCCCGACGGGGGGCTCGAACTCACAAACCGTGAGATCATGGCCTGAGCTGAAGTCAGAGCTTAACCGACTGAGCCACCCAGGCACCCCGATACTGTCCATGTCTCTTAATTTCTCATTGACTTGATTTAGTTTCTTATTTATTTACTTATTGATTTAAAGTTTATTTATTTTTGAGAGAGCATGAGCAGAGGAGGGGCAGTAAGAGAGGGAGAGAGAGAATCCCAAGCAGGATCCTCATGCTTTCAGCTCAGAGCCTGATGTGGGGCTCAATCTCATGAATCATGAGATCATGACCTGAGCCAAAATCAACAGTCAGACTCTTGGGGCGCCTGGGTGGCTCAGTCGGTTAAGCGTCTGACTTCGGCTCAGGTCATGGTCTCATGGTTCGTGGGTTCGAGCCCCGCATCAGGCCTGTGCTGACAGCTCAGAACCTGAAACCTGCTTCAGATTCTGTGTACCCCCCTCTCTCTGCCCCACCCCTGCTTGTGCTCTGTCTCTGTCTTTCAAAAATGAATAAACATTTAAAAAATTTTTAAATAAATTTTAAAAAGACTCTTAAATGACTGAGCCACCCAGATGCCCCAGTCTAGTTCCTTATTTAAAACCTCTGGACATAAACAACTTCATTACTCAAAGATACTCCCCCTCCTTTCAAGTGCCTCTCAAGTTCTAATGTTTATTATCTGTATTTTATAAATAACCCAAGATCAGTTCCACTCAGAGCCTTTGTCCTAGGTATTCTCTGCCTCAAAGTGTGCTTTCTCTGGCTGGCTCCTTTCTGTCTTTAGGATCTTAGTCACCATGCAGTGTCTTCAGAGAGGTCTTTCCTGGCCCCTTTCCTAAAATTTTTTTTTTAACGTTTATTTATTATTGAGAGACAGAGAGACACAGCATGAGCAGGGGAGGGGAAGAGAGAGGGGGAGACACAGAATCCGAAGCAGGGTCCAGGCTCTGAGCTGTTAGCACAGAGCCTGACGCGGGGCTCAATCTCAGAAACTTCGAGATCACGATCTGAGCCAAAGTTGGTTGCCTAACCAACTGAGCTACCCAGGCACCCCTACTGGCCTCTTATCTAAAGATCCAATTCCTACTCTGTGGTAGACACTGTCAGAAGTACCCTGCTCAATTCCACTCCCCCTTAATATACTGATATTTGACTTTCTATACTAACTGCAAATATCTATTACTTCACCCTTGTGCAGGTTAAGCCAGATGTGTTGGGGAATAAACACACCCAGAGCAGCACTCAACCAATGAAAGATGGAGAGTTAGTTGATAAGTACTCCAGGATCCTGTCCCCTTGGTGGGGGTGGGGGGAGGGGGTATGTAATCCTGAGGTACACTCTACACCAATGTCTAGAGGTCCCTTAAGGGATTGTGTACTTTTATTGGCTGCTATCCTGTGCCTACCTGACTTTTCAGATTCCCTAATTGGCACCCAAATAAACCACTTATAATTGAATCTTTGTCTTAAGTCCTGCTTCTAGAAGAAACCAATAAATCACTCTACCACCCAGTCCAGTCATTTCCTTCTCAGTGCCCTGTTGAGTTACCTCAGGAGTGTTTATAACTATCTGAGACCATCTCTTTTGTTCCTGTGGTCCCTTGTCTTCCTCCTCCCATTGGAATATCACCTCCATGAGCACAGGGAAATTTTCTGTTTTTTTCATTGATGTGTCCTAGAGCCTAGCATCTAGAGCAATGCCTGGTACAGAGTAGGTGCTTAGTACATATTTGCTGTGTGAATGAATAAAACCCAGAGACGTGCTCAAGCAAGAATGCTAATTAGGCAGGAGAAATATGATAAGCCGGCCGAAAATGCCAGTGGATGGTCTTAATTGGTTGAAAAGAGCAGCTCAGGTTGACTTTTCCCGTAGCCACAGTTGATAGACTTCCACAGAGGCCTACTGATTTGCACAATGTTTCTAGCAAGTTGTTAGTACAGATGGAATCAGAATATGTTTTTGAAGACATTATACCACCTAAGACAAATCCCACACTGGTTAAAAGCTAATGCACAGTTGAGAAATTTCTCTTAATTTTTAGAGAACTTTAAAAAGAACATCTTGTTCATAAACGAACCATCAAGAGACTGAAATGGAAATTATCTCCCGCAGTCCTATTCTGTCACTTGAAAATCTGTAACCAGCCCCCAGGCATTTTATACTCACTGCCCTCATCTTGAACATAATGGGGGCCACAGGAAATGGCAGAGTTTATTCGAACATAAATGTCACTCAATTTCATCACCACAATTTCTGACTGCAAGGTTACTTACTAGAGCCAAACCTCGGTTACGTCTAATCAAACTGATGGGATCCTTTAACGGAACTCTTTGTGCTCCCCTGGGAAGGAACGCACAAAGGATCATAAAACAAATTCCTATCTGCGATTCTAGGTAAAAACAACTAAGGGAATAACTTGTGGTCAATGCACATTCATCTAATAGCTGGCATTTTCCCTCTGTAAGATCTCATGCTGGAATGGTAATATGGAATCCCTACATTGTCCTTCATCACGGAGAATTAAGTCTCTTATAGGGACTAGGTTTGATTTCTCTATAATGCAAGTAAATAGACTCTGCCAGTATAGATGGTGTTGGTTTTTTTTTTTTTTTTTTTTTTTTTTTTTTTTTTTTTTTTAAGTTTACTTATTTGGAGAGAGAGAGAGAGAGTGAGATGGGGGAAAGGAAGAGTGAGAAAGACTGAAAGAGAATCCCAAGCAGGCTCCTCATTATCAGTGCAGAGCCTGATGTGGAGCTCAAACTCACAAACCATGAGATCATGACCTGGGCCAAAGTTGGACACTTAATGGACTGAGCTACCCAGGTGCCCCTACATAAGTGTTCAGACTGAGAAGGGGAAATAAACATGTTAACTATCTGCCCACCAGTTAACTGCAAAGTTCAACTCGCTCTTTCTATTCCCTGGAGCATGCTCATTAAACAGGTTTAATTAATCATTTTCTAATTTTCCTTGTCATTTTATTAAAATAAAAAAGGCCATGGAGGAGTAACATCTGATATTTAGAATGTTTTTCTTTATCTGCTTTATCTGTGCTACTAATTATGCAACATGTGTAAGGATGCAACATTGCTAATGATATTTTATTAAAGATTTAAACTATGAAGTTTAATTATTACTATTCTGAGCCATTTTTTCCTATTTTAGAACATTCCCCCAAGTACTGAGTCTATTGATGTGTACACTGTGACTCAGGGATAAAAATGAAGTAAATGTACAAGATGCTTCCAGTTATATGGTATGAGAACCCAGGTATCCTGAACCCAGACTCCTTCCGCTGTCCGCGCTGAGCTGTATCAGCTGCTGCTCTTTATAGAGTGACTCTGTTTCTCATCTAAAATACGGCTTTGTGACCAGTGAGCTCTTGGAGCCGTTATGTTACTTTGCTCCTGTGTGCCGTATCTGCACTTCTCTGGCACTTCACACTGTCCCACCTGTGACTGACGAAAGAGTAACAGGAGACGGATGCTCTGCCTACTATCTTGGTTCAAGTGCATCACCTGGCTGATGTACTACAGGCTGTTGGGAGAGAGGTCTTTAACTTGAGGGATGCATCAGAATATCTTAGAGAGCTCTTGCAAAATAGTCATTCCTAAAAGTTGTCATTCAGTGGCCCTGGTAAGCAATGGACACCTGCATTTTTTTTTTTTAATTTTTTTTTCAACGTTTATTTATTTTTGGGACAGAGAGAGACAGAGCATGAACGGGGGAGGGGCAGAGAGAGAGGGAGACACAGAATCGGAAACAGGCTCCAGGCTCTGAGCCATC